GGAGAGAGAGAGAGAGAGAGAGAGAGAGAGAGAGAGAGAGAAGAAAAAGGATGTAGGAGGAGGGAGGTCGTGCCCGAGAGGAAGAAAGACGACCTTGGCTCGGATCCTCGTCTTTTAGTGAAGAGACGTGCGCGCTTCTTCGATCGTGATCTATAACAACAAACGGAACTGGAACGTGATGGTGCTGCTGCTGTTGGTGGTGGTGCTTCTGCTGCTACTGTTACTGCTGTTTCTGTTTCTTTTACTACTACTCCTACTGTTTCCCTGCTGTCGGTCTATTTGTCTATTTATTTTTCTTTTCTTTTTCTTTTTTTTTTTTTGAGGTGGCGCAAATAATATGTAAAAAAAAAAAAAGAAAAGAATATATATATATATATATGTATATGAAACAACCGCTAAGAAAAATAAGCAGGATTATTCGATATCCGTCAAAAGTTCATGATTATGTTAACTCCGTGCCAATTTGTTTACAACTCTCTGTTAATAAACGATGTTAATAAATGACATTACGTAATGTATGATAATTAATTAATGTAAAAGTTAAATATAAGAAGAATAAGAAGAAAAAATGAATAGATTTAGAGATAGATAGAAAGAGAGAGAGAGAGAGAGAAAGAGAGAGAGAGAGAGAAAGAGAGAGAAGTAGGGGTTGAAAGGGGGGGGGAGCAAATATAAATAGTAAGTTAGAAGTAAACAAGAGTGAAAAAGAGAGAGAAAAAGAGAGAAAAAGAGAGAAAGAGAGAGAGCGTGGACCGAACGACCGAAGCTGATGCGGAACCGCGGACGACTGGCGTGCGGCTGGCTGGTTGGTAAACGACGACGAGATGGAACGATACAACCGAATCCGTACGCTTATTCTAAACTAAGCGATTTGTCCCCGGCGCCGCGCCGCGCACCTGTCTTTTCGCGGCTCGTTGCGCATGTCTTTAGGACGCGCGCGGCTCGTCCCTACGTGTTCTCCTTCCAGCCCCCCACACTCCCACACACCACCCTCTACGAACGAGAGAGAAGGACGATTTCATTGTGAGAAAGAGAGAAAGAATGTATGAGAAAATAAAGGAGTAAGAAAGAGAGAAAGAGAGAGAGAACTGTGTGTGTATTTGGCGGAGAATGAGATTTAAAGAGAGAGAGAAAGAGAAAGTATGCGCGAGGAAGTGAGATAGACTTAGTGTGTGAGAGAATAAGAGAATGAATGTGTATGAGAGAGTAAAGGTGTAAGAGAGATAGAGAAAGAGAGAGAGAGAAAGAAAGAGAAAGTAATGTGTGTGAGAGAGAATGTGTTTAAGAGAGTAAGAGAGAGAGTAAGAGAGAGAGTGAGAATGTTTTTGTATATGAGTGAGAGAAAGAGGGGGAGAGAGAGAGAGAGAGAAAGAGAAGGTGGAAGGGTTTCTCCCACTGGCACCCTTCCGTCTGTCTCTTTTGCTATTTCTCTATTTCTCTATTTCTCTTTCCATCTGAAAGAGAAGGAGGGAATGAAGGAGAGGGGAAAAGCCTTCGGACGTGGATTCCGAATTAAGATTTTCTGTCTGACTCGACACTCTCCTACTTGGCGAAATCGTCGACCTAAGCGATCGAAAGACGCAGTTACTTTACCCTTCTCTCTCTCTCTCTCTCTCTCTCTCTTTCTCTCTCTGTATATTTCTCTCTATCTCTCTATCTATCTGCCTATCTGTTTCTCTTTCTCTCCTTCTCTCTCTCTCTCTCTCTCTCTCTCTTTCTCTTTCTATCTGTCTATTTGGTGTCGTTATACGTTCGAGAGAAGAACAGAGAACGCTCCGGGGAGATTGAACGCCATTGTGTCAAACTTCATGTGTCCTAATGTAGAAAGACATTTTCTATTCGAGCGAGTCGATTGTAAGTAAGTACTTCATCGGGATGATACGTCCTCGGTTAGATTTGAATTGCTGGGATAAAAATATGAGGGAAGTATCAGAAAAAGAATTAGAATGGGAGAGAGAGAGAGAGAGAGAGAGAGAGAGAGAGAGAAAGAGAGAGAGAGAGACGAATATGATTGACCGTAAGAATGTAACCAGGGGTTGCATGTTACATCAGAAAACTTTCCTATCATTGCGCGAAAGATTAATCTTTTCGAGACCATCTTTCTCTTTATTTTTCACCTTTTGATATGAAACATTAAACATTTTTAGAAAAAAAAAAAAAAAAAAGAAAAGAAAAGAAAAGAGAAAGATAGATATTCGTATGCTTTCAGGCATCATCGATTTTTGAAGACCAGTTTGTTTATAATCTTCGCGGGGAAAAAGTAAACTAAGCCGCGTGGAAAAGAAAGAAATACACGTATGTATAGATAGATACGTGTATATAGAAAGAGAGAGAGAAAGAGAAAGAAGAAAAATAAGTCGATAATCCTCAAATTCCGACAGACTAAATTCTCTTTCTCTCTTTTTTTCTTTCTCTATTTCTCTCGTCTTTTTTTTTTTTCTTTCTTTCGATACATAGTACCAATTGGGTGTGCTACTTGAAATAACATAGTTACAAATTTAGAAGCTATTTTCAAAGCTACCTTTTATCCGATCTTCTTTTTCTTTGAACGATCCTTGCAAGATCGGTAGGAATGTATCCCAAGTACAAATGTAGATCGTAAAAAGAACATTAGACGATTCCATACATTTTCAAGGGTGACCATGAATGCTACCAATCCAACGAGTCATTTTTTTTTTCGTCTAAATAGTTTTAATACCGATACACTGTCCAAGTTGTTCAATTAAAATAGTCAATGCACAACCAATTTGACCAAGTTATGTATAAACTTATTTATCCTAAAAATAAATAGAAAATACAAAATTAATTAAACATTTTATAAGGATTTCATAAATTTGTAATATATTTATTTAGAAAAAATAAATTAAATAAGTTTTAAAGTATGAAATTATTTATGATACGAGAAACTCTTGTATATTTTTTTTAAATAAAAGTGCATTTGACCGCAAGGAAAAATGTTTCCACGTTGGACTTTAATTTCAGATTATTAAAATTTGCTTGATTCCTATATAACTTGGTCACAATTATATACACCCATATACAAGGTGATTAAAATAATATTTAACAAATCGAATCGAATCGAAAACAGAGAGAAGAAAATCCTAATGTATAAAAATATTTAGTTTGTTCTCAAAAAAATCAAAATTATCTGGTATCTTTTTTTTTTGTCTTTTGTCACAAGTAGCACAGTTACTTAATCGTTAATCTTAGATAAATATTATCCGAAAGATTTGAATGTACGTAAGATTCTCATAAAATTTGTTTCCAAGATAAATTTTCTTCTGAATTCGCACGATCTCCGAATCTATCGTTGGAAGCAAGATGGTACCAATGCACAGATGCTCAGAAGCTATACTACAATACCATATAGAAAATGTTGAAGTGAGACATGAACGAGGATGGTTTAGTTATACATAACGGAATCTATACTCCATGCGATATTCAAGATTTCATATCGAATTGGATCGGACGTTGATAGTGCATTCGGCTGTCATCGGTTAATCGAATATATGCCAATGAGAAGAACGTTTTCTGTTACAAAATATCGAAAATATTTCCGAATTTGAATAAACGAAATTTACTCTCAATAATATCAAAGACAAATCATTCAATATATTCCTCTACTCTCATCGATATTCCAAAAAGTTTTAATTTAAATGACTTATTAAATATAACAATATCAACAACAACAACAATTTATAAATAAACAAATAAATAAATTTGCGTATATACAGTGAGCTTGATTTATATTGAAAGAAAAATTGCTATACGAAAAAATGTTGGAAATTTTAATTGTTGCCAAAGGGGGACGTTTTATACTTTTATACGATAGATTTGATCTTAAAATAACGTAACCTTGACACGTAGAATTAAAAGTCAGATAAAAATTATCAGATGAAGGTTTATGGTTAATTTGTTTTTATTGCATATTCCTGTAGATGAAAAATTTGGTGATTTTTTAAACTCTACTTACGTGTATATTTTTTTTTTTATTGCTGTATCCATTTTCATTATAGTCTACGTATATATATATATATATACGTGTAAAACACATGTACAAGTATATACGTATAGACTTTTGATCGTTGCAGTGAGCGATTCGAGTAGAAAATCCAATTCGGATATTTATCGATGGAAAAATTGAATGAAAAAGGAAAGAAGTATTAGACCGATCGTACATTCATAGAAAGATCCACGAAAGCGTGAAAGATCGATCGCTTCTATCTACTAAAATGATTAAAAAATGGCAGGAAAGAAGAAACCTGAGTACCGTTAGAAATCCTCGCATTACTCCTAATGGAAACCCTGGCTAATCTTCTTATTTTTAATAAAATAGAAAGATATATCTATATATATGTATATTCATAGAATATTTCCCTTTGGAAATATGCATTTAAGTTAATTTTCCTTTTTCTTTCTTTGTTTTTTCGAATCTTTTATTCGTTGTTCTGACATATCGTTTAATGGAATCGTTGAAATATACCGGGTTAACTGAAAAACACATGTACCGGTTTTGTATAGCAAATATTCTTAAATTTGTATATATAATACTTCAAAATAAATAAATATATATATGTAATATACATTTATAAATTGATATAAACTTTCAGTTAACTCAATACTTATGCTATTACTTGTGTGAGATTTTTCCAAACTGTTTTGTAAGATTTAATAAATGGCTATCTTATTGAATTATTTAATAGTGACGATTGAAAAAGATCACTTTCAGAAATGAAGACGTTTGTTCGTTTTTTGTTTATAATATCGCCAATCGAATCGAAGCAACACAGAATCAGTTTGATTCTGACACTCACAATTTGAAGTAGACGGCTATGGTGTAATCCGTATCCTATCGTTCGATACTTTAATTGCTTTATCAAAATATACGTCATTTTTTATATTTTACGCGAAGTATTATTTCCTTACAGTTGCCCGAAATATTCGTATCAATATAAACCATAAATATATTGTGTAGGCTTATCATTTAAATTCATTTGTAATTAAAAGATAAATAATTTCGAATAGTATTATTTTACTACGCACCATTAATCAAGAATCTAAAAGGATAATATTATTTTCTTTTTTTTTTGGTAAAAGTACGATACACCAGATTTCAACTACATGTGTTATCCTTTCTACTCATTCTTAAATCCCTGGATAAGAATGGTTAATATTAAACAATAATGTTACTATTGTATAAACAATTAAAACAATATTGCAAAACAATAATATGAACAGAATGTAATCAAATACTTTTCAATAAAAATAAAACTATATATATATAATACTACGCTACAATTTATATTAATAAATTCATTGTATATATATTCATTATAAATATTATATATATATATACAAATGGAAGAGATATTTATTCGTTAGGATATTCCGATAACAATTTTATTTCAATTTATTTCAATTTTTCCTACTCGTTTTTAATTTAGAAGCGAAATCGTTTAACAGTCAATGTAATATCGACGTCATTTATATGTAGAAACGTGAAGTATATAATAGTATATACATACATCAACATTTGAGAGCAATCGTTAAAGAGAGAGAGAGAGAGATAGAGAGAGAGAGAGAGAGAGAGGAGAAAGAAAAATTCGAAACGGAAAATAAAAAAAGAAAAAGAATCGAAGGAATTGTTGCGTTCAAAATTTTAAATAAAATTACGAAAATAATAATCAGAAAACGACATGTAACGCCGCCATTAGTGAATATACGACGTTAATCATTAATTTAGAGAAAGAGATGTTCATTAGCCAATCTATCCGCAATCAACTCTAAGCAACATTTTTAAAACGAAAAGCAACATGAATATTAATTGACTACCGGTGTCTTTTATATTTCCTCTCTCTCTCTCTCCCTCACACACAAACACTCTTTTTCGGACTATTCTTTTGCAAGCTAACTATCGATCCATTTCACGCACGTAACAGAATAAATGTAATATATTGCGGAATTCATAAGACATAGTTATTGCTTCGTTTCTATCCCGAATTCGAGACGTGTATTTAATTTACGTAATGTATTGTGAAACTATGTATTGAATACGTTTCTTTCGCTTATATACACAATTGGACCGTTTTAGTCAAATCGTTTACACATCTTCATACACTCACACATATATATATACGACTATACAAAGGTATATATATACCATTTTTAGTAGTTTATTTACAAAAAAATAAAACAAAGAAAAAGATAAAAAAATCACAGAAATGTATGCGTTATTGATCCTATCGTAAATTCAGTTCGTATCATGTAAAAAAAATTGTTCGAGTAGAATAGGAATCATGAATGGATAATAAAACCCCAAATGTTAATCCTGTTGTGCTAATAGTCAACCTTAATTGAACTATCCATTAATTTATTTATCTATTGATTAACGGCATAGAAATTTAATTATCTACTCGCTACCAGATTTATGTAATGGTAGTTTTAATGTATATATATATGTGTGTGTGTATTTGTATCTGTACATGGATATGTACTTACTAAATAGATATTTAGATAGATGTAGATAATTTATCTTTTAAACGTACAATGAATCACAGGAGTATCGGTACCCCCAATGTCAATTTTAAACAATTAATATTTGCTAATGGAATTTTATAAAATTTTTCTATACAGAAACAAATTTGATCGAAAAAGAACATTTTATTGAAAGTGAAGTGTATAATTTGACATATATGATAAAATAAATTTCATAAAATGACCAATCGTTTCAATATTATAAAATGTAAAAGAAGGGCAAACCATGTGTACACAATTTACTAAAATATTAATTTTATTTACTGTTATATCTTGCGTAAGTATGAATACATTTTATAAGACCAATTTTCTTCAATTTTCGAACTTCTTCGATTTCTTCAATTTTCTTAAGACTCATTTTTCTCAAATGATATTATATGATTATATCTTTGACAATAAAATATTCTTTAGCGATAAAATTTAATATCAATTTAAAAGATGAATAATTCAAAGAAGTAGGTTTTTGTGTACAAAAATTTGGAAATGTTTTAGTTTTTTTTTTTTTACAAATACCCTTTGATTACAAATACTCCCGTGAGTCATATTGTACATATATTGTATATATGCTATGTATATTATCAGACGAGTTACGAATAATCCTATAGGGAATTTGTTGGAAAAGAAAAGAAAATTCCCGGCGCGTAATGCGAGTATTCGGCAGTTACGAAACAGAAAGCGATAGCTACGGCGAATACTTACGTTCTTCTCAAACTGCTTTGTATTCACGATGCTTTTACTATCAGCCTTATAAACGTGGGCCCGCATATAAAGACGAAAGACGGACTTCTCCTAAGAACAGTTACATTTTTTCTTCGTCGATATAACAGCTATAACTGGTAGTTATGAAGGTAATAATTATTTTTTTTTCATTCCCTTTTTTTTCTTCGTTATTTTCCATCCTATTCGTTAGAGCTTAATTTAAAAAAAAAACAAATAGATTCATTCTGTCTGATAAATTTATCCAACTAAAAAAATTAATTAGGGAAAACAGAAAATAATTTGATAATTACAGTATATTAAAATTTGAGATAAAAATCTAACATTTTGTAATAATACAAATTACACGATTTTTATATCAAAAGTTATATGATATATTAAATCTATACCGTGTGTTAAATAATTAAAAAAGAATAATATTTTTAATTGCAATCACAAATTAAAATTCATCCATTTGAACAAATCTTCGTTAGATGCATTTACGCTACATTAAATTTTGCATAATTAATAATTACAATAATCATTTAAAAACCCCATTATAATTAAAGCAATGCTAATTACAATTATTAGAAAATATTACAGCAATGAAAAATATAAAACTCGAAATCCTCGTATATCCTTGACCTAAAAATTAAAAAAAAAAAAATCAGAAAAAAGAAACAAAACACACGAAATAACAAAATTATCCTTTAGATAATCTTCTTGATCCTTTGGATTGGAGTGGTATCATCAACAACAGAATACATGCCCAGAGGATGGCGTCCGAGTGGGAGATACTTCAACCCTGGTCACAGTCAACCACACACTTACTATCGACCGCGACCTGGTCCATCGAATGCGATCACTTATCCAGCAGCTTTCTCGCCTCCTAGTAATATCCCAACAACACCTAGTACGTCAACGATACCAACTACTACAACTACAACTACTCCTATTACCACTACTACGACTGAGAGAACCAGAGAACCAACGACGCAACCGAATTTACCTGATGAAACTTTTGACACGAATCCGGCCCTTGCCATCGCCAATTCCTTCGCGTTCAACAGACCTGTCTACGTTTATAATACCTTCCCGTTTCTCCCAGGACACGTCTTAGTCAAGTAACCTGACCAGAACCGAAGAATATCCAAGAGAGAACTTTGGAATAATCCGGCCATCCTCTTCTTCTTCTCCTCCTCCTCTCCTTTTTCTTCTTCTTCTTCGCTTTTGTTCACGTATGTATACGTTTCATTGTATTATCTATTATATATACCATAGATACATTCCATAGACTAGTTATATTAGTTTTAGCAAATACATGCTCATCAACACTTTCTACGACCAATTGTTTCCGAAACTTCATGCTTGTAATTTAATATGTAGAACCCTAGATTCTATTGTATTATTATTATTATTATTATATTATTATATTATATATATATATATATATATACATTAAATTATCCGGTGAATATTTGTAAGTAAATGATGTTTATTATTTTCTTTTAAATTTTATATATATATATATATAAATGTAAATAATATATTATATAGATCAATCATAAACAAGACAAGAGATGAATAAAAATTAATCTCGATCTAGAGTGCGTAAAGGTATATGTGCTAAATACGTCATAAAAATATGACGTATCTATCTGTCTATCTATCTATCTATCTATCTATCTATCTACTATCCATGGCGTACTATATGTATAAACTCTCATCGATATTCCTACATTTTTACAATCTCGTACAAGTGAGATACGTCCAATTCTAACTGCATCTGACACTTTAAACGATCCATTTGAGAAGTATGTGCTTATATCCCATAACTTCCCCTGGTTGCACACACTTTACTCCTGTGTTCATTGATCGCGCCTGATAGCACAACCAATGGCGTGTACGAACATTAGTATAATCCGTGTTGAGAAACTTGGATAAATCTTTTTTCCTCCCGCACCGAAGGAACTATCATTGTCAACAATATTTTTACATCCTATCTATCTACGTATTCTTGTTTATTTTTTTTTTTTTTTTAATTTTTTAATTTTTCTATTCGAGACAAATTCGATAATTGCACAAGTTTCGTCAAAAATAACAGTTGCCTGCTGAATATTTTGTTGAGAGTTTAATTTTCCTCTTCTTGTTTTCTTTTTTTAAGGGGAAAATAACACTATAATTTCGTTGTAAAAAGTGTTACGTCGGATAAGGGCCATATTTTACATATCGCACGACCACGAAGTAATCCTTGCGGAACTGGCCCGTAGATTCGCGAATCTGCTGAATTACTGCTATTATCTCCTTCTAGCCACACGTGTCCAATTGGTACCTAAAACGAGATAGCAGCTATATTTAGAAAATTGTTTTAAGAGATATCACTTTTGTCTCCCTTCCCTATATTTTTTTGTTCATTAGTTTTCTTTTTTTTTTTTTCTTTTATACAAAAATTTGTGTCACATTTCAGCACGTTAAAATATCTGCTAAAAAAATGAAAATTTTATTTAGGAGTTTTCAGGTTCCTGGCAGTCGCGAATAAAATGAATGTATGTACTTAGAAACAGTTGCTAATTTATAGTGTTACTATTTGCAGCTAAGTAGACACTAGAGACGGTAAGAGGAGAATATAGACATGAGCGTTTCTCTAACATGAGATGGAACGCGGTAGTCGGGCTTTCAAGAAAACAAAAAATAATAAATGTTATGTTTCCGGTTTTTAGTTTTTTCACTTCAATTAAAATATCCAAAATTTTTCGTATCATTATTTAATGATAAATTTAATAAAATTACTTTAATATATAACGATTCTCTGTAATAATAATTATATTTTTTAAAAAGTTAATCAAATCATTGTATATGTATATTTATTTTTTTTTTTAAATATANACTGATTCTATAATAATAATAATTAAATTAAAAAATATGTTAACTATTTTAAATATATTCTGTTCACAAATGTATATATGCATATATAATAAGAAAATAATAATAAAAAATACTATTATAGTATAAGAAAATTAAAAAACAATATTAATTATTTTAGATATTTTTGCTTACAATGAATACATATATAAATTTTTGTATAATGTTTATATATATTATACATTATTACAATAAATAAAAATATATATTTCTTAATATATTAAGCGTATTATTTAAAGCGTATTAAATACTCACAGTATATGTAAAAAATCCATGTCGAATACTGTCACCGGGTAAGCCTACAAGTCTCTTACAAATATGTTGTCTAGGATTTGAAGGGCATATAGAAATAACAATATCACCTTTCTTATACCATCTTAATTTTGTACTTATATGTTCTGTAAATAATATATCCTTGCTGCGTATTGTTGGTTCCATAGATGGACCCGAACACTGAAATATAACAATGCACAAATACATGCAAATGAGTACCACAATTAAACTGAAAGATACATTGTATTGAATGTTATCAATATAAATTATAAGATATAATTTACATTAAATAAGTAGCTAAGTTTTAATATGGGTTAACGATAACATTTATGTATTCTGTTTATATACAGAATGTCTATATATCTAAATATATATGTTAATTATTTCTATTCATCTTAGTCATCTACATATAAATAATATTAAAAATTAAGTAAGTAATCATTAAATATAAATTCATTATATTAATAGAACGTTTAAATATAACAACATCCAAATATATGAAAGCGAATACTGTGGTTAATCTAGAAGATACATTGTATTTAACTTCATTGATATATAAAATCATTATACATAATTTATATTAAGTAACTCGGTTTTAATATTGGTTTACGATAGCATTCATGCATACTGCTTAAATATATATGTTAATTATTCTTATTAATCTTTATCATCTATATATTAATAATATTAACAATCATACAATTGCGTAATCACTAAATATAAATTCAATACATTAATATAATATAACCTTTAAGTTCTATGATAACATACTCCACATATGCACACACATTCATTCATCACACAATAAGAGAAATATATAATCTAAGAAATGTATATTTTTACTTACCACTACAAATTCGCCAATATATTCAAACGCACAATGTGTTATGCACGCATACTGCAAGGTAACACCTAACACACTTAAAACTTTGTATATGTGTTTACTGAACATTATGACTAGTAGTATAGAGGTTACATGTTTATAGAAATCTTTAGTAATAAAAAATGCATATAACATTATTCTTCCCTAAATACACATTTACATATATACCTAACATTGGTTTTTATTAAATAAGATTCGTTTATCACGTGTAATCACTGTACATTATTTTAAATATCATCTTAAAGTTATGTCAAACCTCGAAAAGTATACACCACGAATAATTTGAATTTCATTGGAAGAGTAGAGCGCCATCTTCGTCCGTTAAAACGTATTATCAAAGACATCTAGCGATAAAATTCTGCAACTACTCTTACAATTCAAACTTACAGAACACGATCGATAAACGTCTTAATTTTTATTTGTTTTAAAGAGATAAAATATAATTTAAAAAATGTCAATACCTTGACATTGTTATCATTCGAAACAATATTAAATAAAAATCTAAAGTATTATTTCTTAATAATAAATACTTTTACGATACACATCACAATTATAACATACGTGCAACGTATTTTTTGTTTGTACATTCCTTACAAAGAGATTCTTATGTTTCTAATGCATTAGAAATTCTATGTTAAAGATGATAATTAGAGAATAATGATATTAAATAAAATAAAACTATAATAATAAATAAATCAATAGATTAAATTATGTAATAATGAGATTTAATTATGACACACGTACTCCTCCACGTGTTTAAATGAATTCATAATATTATATTAATTGATTACCTAATCAATTTATTTATATATTATTAGAATATATTAAAATAATTTTGGAATAAAATAAATATTTTTTAAATAAATTTTTGTTTTTAACAGCAGGGAGAACGTGTGTTCAGTTTTGAAAAGACATTGATTGTGAGATGATACACATATACACATACATGTTACATCTTTATATTACTCGAGGTTTAAAATACAAGATGTGTTGTATGGTGTGCATAATTCTTAAATTTAAAAACCCTTCGCCTCATACAACTCTTTCTCTCTTTCATTCTTTCTTTTTTTTTCACAGTGATATAAAATAGAAGCATGATAAAAGTTTGATCTTCTATTTAAAAGGCTTTGTGTATTAGTTAATCAATATTCGTGATGATTCATTATGACAATGACGATGATAGGAAAATGATCGTAAATGTTGTGTGAGATTGCTAAACAAGTGGACCGTCATTTCTACTATTAACATAAATAATAATTACAATAATAATAACAATAACAATGGTTTATGTATGGTAATTAATAAGATAATGATTACGATGATTATAACAATGATAATAATAATAAAATATGTGAGAGATTAGTAAGCGTCGATTAATCGATTTTTTTGCATTTCTAATAGTTACAATAATAATGATAATGATAATGAAATATGTAAGATTTTAGGAAATATAAAATAATATTGAAAGATAAATTTCCTAACATTGATATTTCTTAGAATAATGATAATGAAAAAGGATTAGGTATTGATTTTGCTATAATTTTTTCGACATTTTACACGTAACTGTTTAGTAGGAAAGATTGGTACATACAGATGGTGCATTGCAAGCGTTGTTTTTTTTTTTCTAACAAATTTCAATGATCATTTTTAACCATATTTTAAGAAAGTCTTTGTGATAGCAATTAAATTTATTTCTATATAATATATATTTCTCGTTTTTCTCTCTAGTGTGTATGTATGAAATTATATATACATACGTATATATTATGTATACACACACGTACAATATAAAGTATTATATTATCCATCTGTATTGTAGCCAATATAATTAAACTGCACTTCTCAAATAGGAAAAGAAATTAATCGGAAATAAATAAATAAATAAATAAATAAATAAATTAGGGTAGCCGTATGTGCAAACGATTTACTCGTAATTTCATTCTATTATTAATTAAACAACGAATTATTTTTTGTTACTGTTATTGTTCTTCTTCTAAATGCAACATCATAATACTTCCGAGTGATTTTTATTTATTTATAGAACAGATCAATTCGAATTTTCAATAATAATAATACTCGTAATAATAATAATAATAATAATAGTACTAATAATAAA